TCCGGCAACGGATCGCAACCCTCAGTGTCGCGCCCGTACCGGACCGGGACCAGCAACAGGATCGCAACCCTCAGCGCTGCACCCGCACCTCGCTCAGCCAGTGAGCCGGAACTGGTCTGTATGTGGGATCCGAGCCCTCGGCGGGAGCACCACCGCACTCCCAAGCGGCGCACTGTAGCAGTGCGCCACCGGGCCGGCCCTTCATATTTCTTCTGATCTTTTTTTACCAGGCCTGTTTTCCAGTCTTTTGAACATATCATCCCAATGATGAAGAAAACTGCTTCTTATTGGTCTGCTTCATTAGTCTGCAACTGATATCAAGTAACATGCATAAATTCCAAAGGTTCTTATCTATATACAGGGTACTTCAAAAAGTTCATGGAAAGATTCATATTATCTTTTAATTCTACTTTTCCATGAACTTTTGAAATACTCTTGTATTATTTCTTCAAGCTAGTTCTGTCCTTCCCTTCCATTCTATTTGAAACGGACACTATTGTTCCCACCACCTACTCTAAGCAATTTAAAATTAATGGGCAAACAAACAGGAGGCTATGGGTCATCAGTTTCAAGTAAAGCAAGTATTTAGAAGGGAGCCCTTATTTATAAAGAATTCCGAAATGTGCTCTTAGTGACAATTGGTCATCATTTCAACTTTCTGACTTCCTAAATGCTATTTCCCTAAACTTTACAGTAAATGAGCAATCAACTTGTGTTGATCAGGTTAAATTTCGACCCCGTGCAGTGTCACTTCTACCTCCTCCATACCTCTTCCTTCCTTACTTCCCTAATCTTTAATGAGGGATTGAGGGTGGGAAGAAGAGGGAGAAAATATGTATTTTAGCTACAGTTAGCCTTCACTTCTAATCTACACAACACAAATAGAAAGATCCTAAACCAAGAGCCAAGGTTGAGGATAGTCATTCCTGTTACAACCATATCTAGCTCTGAATTAATACTTTCCTCCAAAACATTAAAGTACTTCAGGGGTGTGTTTCTTGTTCATTTAATATAATATCTGGGCCGGTCCCGTGGCTCACTCAGGAGGGTGCAGTGCTGATAGCGCCAAGGCCGCGGGTTCGGATCCTATATAGGGATGGCCGGTGTGTTCACTGGCTGAGCGTGGTGCTGACAACACTAAGCCAAGGGTTAAGATCCCCTTACCGGTCAAAATAATAATAATAATAATATCCGATGGGGAGGATAGATTGGGTTGGACACACTTCCCAGCCTTTTGTAGGGTAATTTTAACCCAGCCCCCACCCAAAAGGCCTGAGGGATATATGAGAGTACTTCAAAAAGTTCATGGAAAAATTCATATTATCTTTTAATTCTATTTTTCTATGAACTTTTTAAAGTACCCTCATATTTTTAATCTACCTTTGATATAGGTGTTATCAATCAGGTATTTGTCTAATATGTTACTTTTCTTTGTTTTAGTGTGGAACCATCAGAGAATCTACAATCCCTGATGGAGAAGAATCAGTCCCTGGTAGAGGAGAATGAAAAATTAAGTCGTGGTCTGAGCGAGGCAGCTGGTCAGACAGCCCAGATGTTGGAGAGGATCATTTTGGTGAGGCCCCCAAGAGTAAACTACTAGCCGTCTGGACATTTACTAGCTTTGGTTTCCAAAATATTTAACATGCTTCTCATTATGAGAGACAAGACATGTGAAAAGAAATGTATTTGTATTGCTTTCCTCCAGGGAACCTCTCTGGGATAAATACATGGGCTTGTAATAAAAAATACAGGAAAGTTAAAAGAATTGTACAGTGAACACCTATATATCCACCACAAAGAATCTATATGAATCTCATTTTTAAATAGATTTGTTCTAAAATACCAGAAAGGAAAGAACCAAGTCCCTCTGTCACCTTAAGTCCTACCTAATCTTTATCCATAATACCAAGTAACTGTTCCCTCACTAAGATTTTAGTTTTTCTCTATCTCCCTTCCCCTAATGTCACATTTTATATTCCATCCTAACAGCTGCTGTGGTGAGATATAACAGCTGGGAAATTAATTTTAATTCACTTTCCATATGGTTAATTTCCAAATAGTGGATCACTATGTAACTGATTACACCAGTTCTGAATCCTACTAGCTGTCAGTCTGATAGCAGCCTCCAAGATCAGTGCATGCTGGCTCTGTCACTAACGTTTTTCTACATCTAAAAACAACTCAATCTTTGACAGTACAATTATTGCTGGGAGCAAAAATGAGTTTCCACCAAAATGTAATTGAGCCTCTGTAACTTATATACCTTCATGCATCAGTGTGCTCTCTAGCCAAGGAAGGGTAAACTGCTTAAAGATTTCTTTAAAGGAGGCTAAAGCCTACGTCCATCGTACTGTTCATTTCTAGCAGAAGGGTAAAAATGGAATCTCAGGCATTTTTATATACAGTTTTCTAACTCCAGTGCTGCATATTATGCCTCTGAAGTAACTCTAGAAGCCATGTTTCACATGGCTGACTTAACAGGTGGTACTTGTTATTCTAGCCACACACCATCTGACCTTTATAAGGTTGTTACAATGGCTGCCTGATAGGCTTATTGTTTGATATCCTGTCAGAACTTAATAACAAACACAACATTTTTTTCTATATAAACTGCCCTTCCCAAATCCATTGCAGCATCCAGCATGTTACAGATACTGTGATTGAAATTAAACTGAAAATATCAATCACCCTTCTCAAAACGTAACTGCCTTCTACCATTTCTTCTTTCTCTACCATCATTCTTGTGCCTTACCCTTTTTCTTGGTGTCTTTTGCTAAAATTAGCCTACCATATCAGACAGTGTAACTTTAAAAAATAGCTCAAATTTAGTGTGAGGCCCTTTTATGTTTTAAATGTCCTTATGCTAGGTCTAGAGAACAGTGTAGTATATGAGGCAGTTTAAAGTAAATGACTTTTTTTTTTTTTCCCAAACGGCAGGATGTAGCATGCCAGGAAATATTGCTTTTTCCCCCAGTTGCAAAGTTCTCTATGGATTTAAGGCTTCACCCTCCACCCCATAGTCTGAGCTTCATGGCAAGCATAAAACCCAGCTGCTTAGAATCTATTTTGACAGTGTAACTTTAAAAAATAGCTCAAATTTAGTGTGAGGCCCTTTTATGTTTTAAATGTCCTTATGCTAGGTCTAGAGAACAGTGTAGTATATGAGGCAGTTTAAAGTAAATGACTTTTTTTTTTTTTCCCAAACGGCAGGATGTAGCATGCCAGGAAATATTGCTTTTTCCCCCAGTTGCAAAGTTCTCTATGGATTTAAGGCTTCACCCTCCACCCCATAGTCTGAGCTTCATGGCAAGCATAAAACCCAGCTGCTTAGAATCTATTTTTAGTAGCTCATGTTGACTGAAGGGCTAATTTCCATGACTGTTAAAAAACACATTTTTCACTAAATAACCAAAGCCCACTAAAATCCTCTATTACAGCAAGGGAGGTAGTCTCTCTACCTAGGTTTAATCCATAGGAGTAGGATAGAGAGCATAATTATGTGAGGCTGTCAGGTACTGCCTCTGATGATCTCCTGGGTCTTTGTTGCAGACAGAGCAAGTGAATGAAAAAATGAACGCCAAGCTAGAAGAGCTCAGACAGCATGCAGCGTAAGTTTCCTACGAGATATTTATTAGCAACCTATACCACCTTAGTATATAATCATGGATCCTCTGACCTTTGCAGTACTATTAACCCTTGGGTTCTTTTGCTTGAATTTTCAGCTGCAAACTGAATCTTCAAAAGCTAGCGGAGACTTTGGAAGACCAGGAATTAAAAGAAAATGTAGAGATAATTCGTAACCTGCAGCAAATGATTACCCAGCTATCGGTAAGCCAAGTAGGGACAGTGTAAATAGGCATACTGCTTTTATTTACGTCTCTTGATACATATGAGCCTTTCTAAATCTGTGCCTTTTGCTGAAACAACTAGATTGTGAGCTGCTTGAGAACAGAGATCATGGATCATTGGATATGATCTGAATATTGAATGTGTTAAATCAAAACACTCATAGGTTTCATATGCAGTGGCACGTTAGTATTTTGGTGTTCTAATCAAACACCAGAAACAGCAACGTAGCAGTGCAAAATTGCCTGGGTAGCAAGAGCAGCAGTCATTGATTTGCTGTTCTCTCAGTATAGGCTAACTTAATAAGAGGCGTCATATCATATCCCAATTTTAAATAAAGCTAGGTTCTGACAGATAGCTTACAGCAACCAGGGAATACCATAGCTCTCTTCTATAACCAATAATAAGTTTGAATGATCATTCTGCCATAGGTTCCCATTTTTTTATCTATTTTTAGAACTATTATAGTATTTGTGGGTGTGTTTTAGGGATGGGGGTGGTTATTTGTTGCTTGTCCAGTAGAAAGATCCTCACAATCTCACCACCTTAAAAATTTATTTTTATTTTTGGTGTTCCTTCTCTGTCTTAGCCATTAGGCATATATACTTTCATAAAAAATTGAAATTACACTATAACATACTATGTGAAGGGGTTATGGTTGGTTTTGTTTCATCTATACTCTTTTTTATTATTCTGAAAAGGTAATGTATATGTATTTAAATGCCTAGTGGTATCAGAACAGGGAGTCTCACATCCCTGGTCTTGCTCAGTGTTTTCTAGACTTGTCAATAGGGCATCACAAAATCATCCACACATAGATTTACTACTTTTTTTTTTTTAAGATTTACTCTTAAAGTAAATGAAAAAAAAAAAAAAAAAAAAAACCACATAATATTGTCAGGGGGAAGGGTTATGATGGCCAGTCCTAAGAAATTAAATGAGTAAACTCCCAAGAGACTGTTAGGCAGTGTTTTAGAATAAGTAGCGCTATATAAAACTGTCGTGAGCAGTCCAAGATGACAGTTTATTTATCCAACAAACAGGGCACATTAATTGAGAACCTGAGCTGTAAAACCAGTGAGACCCTGGTTTGAAACCAATTCTGCCACTTACTAGCTATGTAACCTTGTTAAGTGCTGTATTACTGTCAAAGTAAATAATTTACGTGACTCAAATAGAGCTTAAAGGTGTTATTCAGCTGATACACTTGGGGAGCACCTGAACTCTAGGTAGTTTCCCAAGTTGGAGCAGGATTGGAGTTTTATAGGGTGAGGAGAAGAAAGAGGTGTGTGTCCTTTTGGTTTGGCCCAGGTAGCAGTTTTTGTTGTTAATTGCTGTGAAACTTTGGGTTGGAGGTTGTTCCAGTTTTCTTGCCTTTTCCTCAGGAACATATTGGTGCAATCCCATCATGATAAAGATTATTTTTAAAAGTTGTTCTTGCAATCCTTGTAGTTTGTCAGCTGGTCAAGGTTCACAGGTGGGAGAGGTGGCAACAAAAAAAGGGGGAAAGGGAAAAGAGGGGAGAGTTGAAGGCAAGGAAAACTGGGAACCCTTTCACATGTCTGTTTTAATCCTTTTACATGAGCAATATGAGCAAGGTACAGTGGGAATACAAGGGAAGGGATGATTAACTGAGGGTCTAGAAAATTCAAGAAGGCATCACAGAAGAAACTGGGTCCTAAAAATGAATAAGAGTTTGCCATGAAGACAAAAGGAAAAGGACAGTCGATATAGAGGAAAAGGCATATGCAAAAGCAAAGAGGTGTGAAAGTTTAGAAAATGGTAGGAAGTTCAGTGTGGCTGAAGTACATAGTGCATGCTTGAGAATGGCTATCACAAGGTTAAATTTCACCATCCGTAATTTCACTTAAACATAGGTGAAACATCTGGAACCAAAATTTGCAAGCTCAGAAAATAGTGACCCAGGGCACCATTGTTCATGGCCATCACACCAATCTTAGAGGATTTCACACCACCTCATTTTGGGGGCATTAAGTCATATGGGAAGATGAAGGAAACCCATGGAACCAAATTAATAAATTAAGACAAACCATCCTCATTGAGGATCTGGCATTATGACTGGTGCTTGGTGTGCCTGTAGAGGATGTTGCTAGTGGTAGCTGGCTCAGAGGAACTCTGTAGAATTGCTATGTCTGCCACTGAAATGCCCTTGGCACACACAGTAGGAGGGTGCTAAAGATTGCCACAAGCTGATAAAGTTCCTGGCTTCCTTCCACTGTCACAGTTAGACAGAGTAAACCCTTTTATCCAGGGCTCCTGCTGGACTTTTGAATCAGAGTTCTCCACGTCTATTGTTCGGAGACACTCCCAGCTACATATTTTTTTGGAAGTACACAATAATGTGTCCTGTGGCTTTTATTAAGACTCACTATAGTGAAAGCAAAATGTTTCAAGTGTAAGTGCTCATGCCCTTCATTCTGGATTAAAACTATTTTTATTTTAACTGATGGGTGAACACCCCCTTTTCAGTTATGAAGGCAACCATTGTTCCTGGATATTCCTCCTGGGGCTTTAAGCACTAAATTGTACCATTTCTTCCTTTAAAATGTAATTCAAGCAAATCTCTTTGTTACAGTTACCTGTGAGGAAATTTGTGCAATCCTTTCAGTTCTCACAAAATAATTTTTTTGTTGCTTATACCCCCTTCTCCAAAACCAGTTCCATAAAAAGCATTTTGCATGCCAGTAATGCTATTTCTTACAGCCTATAAACAAAAACCTCATTTTGGAGGGTATTGCTGGCTAATGTAGTACAATGTTCTCTAGCCTTGTTTCCCTTGACCATCACCTTCATCAAATCATATCTTTTACTTACAAGAGATTCTCAGTTGTAGCCCTAGAATGGGGGGCTGTTAGATTGAAATAAATCCTATTGTTAGATATTTACATTTAGGATTATTGAAGGCAGAATCCTGCCATGTTCATGTAGACCATGTCACCATAGCCTTAAGCTTAAATCTTAGCATTGTGAAATTTCACTGGGCCAAAAGCCAAAGATAAATCCACAGTAACAACATGTGGTTTTTAAGGATTAACCCATGTACATTGATCGTGACCCTCTGGAAGGTATCGGAAAAAGCCTCCAAAAGCCAGTGTTATGGTCCTAATAATCTAGGATAGGCCTGTAACTAGTCCTTATACTGAAAATTGAAACATGAAAGGGAGGAAAGGGTAACCACTGACCTATAATAGATTGTCGTACTGGTTTTTAGTAAGGATTTAGTATGTCCTGCACTTGGAGTACATTTGTCTGACCTCATGAGCACATTTTTCTAGGCATTTATTTCCTTATAGAGTAGGATTTTGTTATCTTGACTGTTAAATAAAAATAAAAAATAACCCTTCATCCTATTCACTTTTCTGATGCATTGCCATTATTTGATGTCTGTTCTTAGGATGGTATGCCCATAAGAACTGTCTAGACTCGTACATTAATAGAGGTAAAATTAGTGGTAGAAGCATAAAAAGAAACAGTATAGTCTATAAAATGGCTTAAACTTTGGCCTGTTGGAATGGCTAAGTGTTTCACTCTGGCCCAGTGATCTCTGGCATAGCAGGAAAAGTGCAAAGAATGTCAGTTATCACATGACCTTATTTTTCACAAAGACTATACAATTGCCTTTATAAAGAAAAAAACTCTAAAGAGGTGGGAAATGAAAATGTGTGGCTGTTGGGGTATCTGTGGCTATAAAATGGGTTCAGCAACTTAAATGGTTTCTGTATAAACTTGAAAAAACTTAAAGAACCAATATAAAATCCACTAATAAGCTTCACTTCAGTATCGTTTCCTAAACCAAAACATTTTTCACTGCAGGATGAAACTGTTGTTTGCATGGCTGTAGCCATTGATACTGCAGTGGAACCAGAAGCTGTAAGTAATTGGCCCCTTTGTGTAGAACCAGGAGCTGTAACTGTGCCCACAATTTATCACTTGACTGAAGAAGAGAATCTGTGATTGCTGCCATTCTCCATAGAATGCCCTGGAAATCCAGAAATCTTTAGTGTAAATCTCAGCTTTGTAAAATCCCTAACTTGGATAGGCTCTATCTATTATAGTATAACTGGTAATGGGTGGCAGGACTTCTCAGGGATGTCACATTTTGTATTTGTAATCTAGCTTACTTATTTCTTGTTAGATGCTAATATTCTGCATCAACTCTGCAGCAAGTTAAAATGAGGAGAGGAACAAATTAGGAAATTATGGCAAAGTTAAAAAAAAAAAAAAACATTAGAAGTGAAATGGAAGAGAATTTTTTCTCAGCATACTTTCTATGGATGGCATAGTTAGGGTCTAAAAGAACTAAGTGTTCTTTTGAGTGTTCAGATCACTAAGGACAGATAAAATGTATTAGATGCTGACTAAAGGTAATAAAGTTAAAATGTATGGCTGGACAATGGTTTGCTTGAGATAGCCATCTCCCACCAAAATTAATATTTGTTGGTAGTTTTCATATTTTGAAATAAGAAAGATTTCTAAAGTGCCGTTTCCAGTGACTTCTCTAAGGACCCCTTGGAATGAGGTAAAACTAAGAATTGTTGGTCAGATCAATAAAGGAAAAAACCAAGAAACTTAATTGGCTCTAAAAAATAAGGTACTTATGAGAGCAAGGAAATAGGGTAGCTCAATTTATTTCAGATGTGTAAAGCAAATGTTGTATGAGAAGCCACAGTTGTGAAAGAACAGAAGTATTGCTAATGGAGAAGTGGCTGCCAGACTTGATAAAATAGTGCCTAAAGAGTTCCAATGGCTTTTGTCTTACAAATCGTTATCCTGATCTTTTCCAGCAAGCAGAAACCAGTCCAGAGGTCAGCAGGTCTTCTGATGCTTTCACCACTCAGCATGCTCTACGTCAAGCTCAGATGTCTAAGGAGCTGGTTGAGTTGAATAAAGCCCTTGCACTGAAAGAGGCCCTAGCTAGGAAGATTACCCAGAATGACAGCCAACTACAGCCCATTCAATTCCAATACCAGGTAAACTATTTTCTAGGGCAGCATTTATTCATATCTACCATCTTTCTTTAACTAAATGGGAAGACAACAAGCACACCTTTTTTTTTTTTTTTTTTTTTTTTTTTTTTTTTTTTTTTTTTTTT